AACTTATATTGGTAGACCATCCCTAATAATTAGAATCACAATCCTGTAAACACTGCACAAGAACATGTTTATTTCAGAGTGGTCTTTGGAGAGTTAATACAAAATAAATAAATAAACTTCTCGAGTCAAATATTTTGTTTCCAGTAAAAAATTATGATTTTTCTAATGTAAGAATTCAGGACAAATGGACAGATGCCAGTCTGACTAGCGACTAAGTATGGAAAAAGTAACATTTTCCAACCTCATTTCAGTATTCTTGGGTTTTATTGTATAATATGCAGCATACAGAAGTAGATAAATTACATAACCGTGCACATTCCCTACATGCAAATCACCTGACATAACACCACGTAAACGATCCACAGAAAAAAGAACAAACCTGCATTATGATTCACGTTTTGAACAGTGAGACTAAAATGTTCAAAAAATAACATATTTTCTATAATATGTATACAGTAAAGACCATGACAGCTGAAATAGGTACAACAGCAATATAGCAAGCATCAGGTGTTCTCAAAGTTTCTACACATAACAAAGTAGCTCCCATTCAAAACACTCTGATTTGACAGAAGTTACAAATACCTGTGCTTCAGACAAAATCCTTTAAAACACATTTAATCTCTCTTGCTGGTGATTGCTCTCTGACGGTGTGTACATTATTGCCTTTTTCACAACCTTTAAAAAAGAAGCACAAAACGCAACTCCACCTCCACTCTCCGATAAGTTGAAGTTGCCAGAAACACAACTCCAATGTGAAAAGAGACCCCGGTTTGGCCCCTTGGGCTGTCCGCATCGTACTCACCATGGTGGGCTAGTTTTGAAGACTTTCTTCCCCTCCCCCTGCACCTACGCACAATGAAGGAGAATGGAGAGCAGTTTCAGCATTAAATTTGAACTTCCCTGCTTTTGTTAGCATGAATCACCACCTTAACATTATCTCAACTGTAGACTTTTATCTGTGAATATCTAAGCCCTGTCTTGTGGAAAACTAATTACTGAGCCACTGAGAGGCTTCATAATGTCCTGCATTTAAGTCCTGAACATCATACATAATGCATAGGAAGCAGTCTCTGCACTCTGATTACAGAACACTGTCATTAAGAGAGCAAATTAAAGATGTGAATAATTCACTGGCTGAGCTTATTGTCACTGCTGCATTGTGAAATTAGAATTTCTAATAAGTACTGCAATTTTTTTAACCCAATTAACACAGAGAACATCTTGAGTCTGATTAGTACAATAAAAATTATTACCTTATTCTTTTGCTTCACAACAGCCAAATTAAATACTGTACTTAATTATGCAGCATTCATCGCTTCTGTGCTAGAAATAATAATAATTAAAAAAATCTCACTATCGCTTTAATATGACTTCCAATATTTAGAGTGCAACTGAAAAATAGAGCATACGTATCTCCAGCACAATTTCTTATCGCAAAGTTACTGGCTTTTTTTTTTTTTTAAAGACTTTGAAAATCGGTTTAATATCAGCAGTCGACCATGATGTCACTGCTGAAGTCCTCTCTGGAAACAAAAACGTATTTGAAAACAAAACCCCACAAAACGACCCTTACAAGCAAGCTCTGAATATATATTGTGAATTAACTTTCTCTGGATTGATGTGAAGACAGAAAAAAAAACATTACCACTTACTGACTTCAAACTGAATACACAAATACACAAACATGGAAATATATAAATATATATATACACCTTGTTTCAGAAAAATGCTTAGGAAATATACTATGAAAAAACAGGAGCTGGATCAGCTCTCTTACCTCAGTTCCCTCTTGGCATGGGATAGATAACATCCTTTCATCCTAGAAAGGAGAAAAGTCCAATTCAACATCCAGCATGTTGATTTTCCCCCACACGGTGCCTGCTGCCATGTTAAATAAAGAAAATGATCACTGAGGATGCAGCTTTTGTCTCCAAATATTTTAATACTGCCTTTTAGTGTCAAGGACCCCAGGAACCTTAGCACATCTGGCAGCAGACACCACTGGCTGCAGCTGCTGCAATGGGCTTTTTCCTCAATCCTATTTCATTTCCAGCTCCTCTTTCTTCCCCATCCTGGAGAAGTTTAATCACCGAGCATGGGTGGGGAAAAAAAAAAAAAAGAAAAAAAAAAGGAAAGGTGGCATTGCAATCACGAGCTTTCTTGGTTTTGTCCTAGAGACAGGGACTGCAGCAACCACCTTGCATCTTTGTCTAGTTATTTTAGCATGTGTGTGCAAGAGGGGAGGAAAAAAATAAAAGCTGAAAATTATTCACGCATAATGCAATAGGCATAAAGAGAGACAAAAAGACAGAGAGGAAGAGAAAGAGAGGGGAAGAGAAAGAGGGAGAGAAAGGGAGGGAGAGAGGAAACAGAAAGACTCAGAGAGGGAGAGGGGGCTGTCAGTGCAGATAAATCTGCATATGGAAATCAGGGTTATCCTGGGTACAGTTTTATTTAACCATGATGTACTGTTTTTTTAATTAGACAGGAATTTAAAGAAGGAAATGAGAGTTTCTTACAGACACAGGAGCAAACGAAGCATTTTTAATCACAGGAGAGTTTTCACAGTAAGCTGTAGCAGCAAGAGCAAAACTTCTTATAGCAACTTTCTTGTTAGAAACAAAAGTTTCATGCACTGCTGCTAATTTACACCTAAGAAAACCAGGCAAAACTGGAGGAGCATTTTCAAATTAAACCAAACCAAGGCAATCCAAAATACTACAATAATTGCTAAAAAGACCCAGAAGCTGCTAGGTGCACAGTACGTGTTTTGAGCCAAGTTATGCCAGCCAGAGGTTTTAGGGCTTTCTCCCTGGCCCCTATTCAGCGGTGACTGTCATACCCAATGAAGGCGCTCCAGCAGATGAAAAAAGCAAAACCCAGCTTGGATTTCAAGTGTGCTAAACGCCGCTTTCCCATGCTTGATGAGAATTGCTCCTGTCTCTAGAGGGAAGCGGTACCTGACAGCCATGGGAAGGTTGGATGAGGGTCTGCAAGGCACCAGGGGAGACCAGGGACCTCTTGCCCGTGGCTGTGAGGAAGCATGGGGATGAGGGAACCGAGGTGGCTGAGGAGAAGGAAGATGAGGTTCAGGTCCAGGCTAGAGGAGGAGGGAACCACAGAAAGGGAGCGGACAGCTGAAGGACAGGAAGATTAGGGCAGCAACCTGATCTGGGGCACTTACTAGCGGTGGCAAGATGGTGGCGCTCAGGTGAGAAGTGGCCAGAAACAACTTGTGGTGGTTGGGACCCACCGAGGGGAGCTGCGAGAGTGCTGTGGGCTGAGGCGGTTGGCGGGGGGGAGGACGAGGGGGGCGACTGGCGGGAAACCCCACCTAAATTACAAGAAACGGACGAGTAAGACGCACATCGGGAACGAACAGGAGCTGGGAAATGGGGCAGCAGTATAGGTGAGAGGAGGAAGGGGGATTTACGCTGAGGGGGAGCGCGGCGGGGCCTGCCGGCGACGGCCCGTGCCTAAACAGGCCCTACA